ATTTATACCAACGTGTCTGATAGTGTGGTTGATCACATGCGAACTCTGACTTGTCTTCTATCGAAAATCAAGTTGGGAACGCGACAGCTGCATGTACCATCTTTCGAAGCAATAACCAGGCTAATTTAGATTTAATCCTATTCACAATTTCAAATTTTCCGTATTTCGCATTTTATAAGTTGCATCAAATCCCCACGGGCTAAAATTCGTGAACACGGCATTCAAATTTTAACAATGAGTGATTTCAATAGTTTTCGTTTTTATTGAGACACCCTGTAGTCTGTCGACGTGCACTGCGATTATGGGCAGAAAATTAACAAAGGCTACGTTCACATGGGACCGGACAGATTTGGAATGACGATGCTCGAAAATTCCTGGATGAAATTTGACCTGTTCTACGTGTTCACATAATGAAGCAATACAAATTATAACACGGTCATATAAATTCGTCAGGTTCTATGTGAACGTATAGCCTATAGACAATACAGTACGGCTTTATCAATGATGCATACGCCAGAAGTTAATTGGATCTGCCAAAATTGGATTATAAAAGCGGGCGTTAAAACCGAACCAACGCTTTATAATTATGCAGCGACATCGTCCCATGATAAAATACGACTCGCGTTGGCGGATGTGAAATAGCAGCTGATATCCATAATCTTGTTTACTGCTTAAAATAAACGAGTCTTGAATTTTTTCTTTTGAATCTGTTGTAAAACATGCAAATTAAAAAAATTCTACTCCAGATTAAAACAATAGCATTCATTTCCTGTCAACAGCGACCAATGGAAGCCTGAGAATTTTTTTGACGAAATGTTTGAGGAAATTTAGAGCGCGTATTTTGCGTGTGCACAGCAAGCCATTTTTAACATTTAATTGTGAGAGCATGATGTTTTTCACAATATTCTGCAAACAAATCCACAAGCTCAAAAGAAGCGAACGTTTCATGATCAACTAACAGGTCGTCTATCTTGTTAGCCGAGCTGTTTATGGCAACGTCTATATACAGGTATTTAAAAGGAACCGATTTCTAATTGTACACTACTCCGCTATGGATCAACGCACTTTGTTAAATTTGAATAAGCATTGCTGGTTGCTACAAAATGGACCGATTTTGGCCGCTTTTTGCGCCTAAATTTTGCTATTTATGCATTCGTTTTGCCATCATACGTTCTTTTTTACTCATACTTGCTTTTCCTATCATTTTACAGCGAGAATTAATCCTCGGGGAAAAGCGCCTTAAAAGAGACTTAATGAGTTGACCTTGTGGTCTCAATTTTGTTATTAGATACACAGTAACTCGTTGAGCTTTATATTTCGCTCAAATATTAGGTCGTATACAGGGTAAGATACAAAATGATTCATATTATCTTGTCTATAATAATAATATAAAACACCTGAAGACATAAAAAAATACTTGAGGCTGCAGTGATATCTATCTTTACATCGCATTATACACTGGCGTTCAAAAAGAACTGCTCAAAACAAGTTAAAATGCTCTCAAATGAACGTGACTGTCCCTCTAACAATATATACGAGTAAATATAGACTAGATCACATGCTAAGCTATATGAAATATTATTATTTTGTTGACTCTCCTTTGGCGTTACAAGCCTCTGCGGAGGATAGTGCTATATTTGTATTACAAGTACGATCGTACTATAAGGACCAGGAACTGCGTAACCAAGTTTAATTTCTGAACTGCATTGTATTTATAACAATGGAGAGGACAACGTATTTCTAATCGTTTCCGTTTACTTATATATAGGCTGAATATTAATGATATGTATATATTATTTGCTGCAAATATATCAAGAATTGCTTGTAACTTGCTTCAAAGGTCAAAAGTAAAAATTCGAACTACGTCAATCGATGCGGAATAATGCTTAGAATAATTGTGCCAAGTTTCGTTCCGATCAAACAAGTAATGATAGAGCCTTAGGGTTTTTTTAAAGAGCGTCGCCCCCTAACAACAACAAGAAGATTAGCAGCGGTTAGGGAGCAGCTGTGTAGTCCAATCCATTTCTATCACTCCCTCTTCCTGAAACCATTGTTTGACTATATCTTGGAAGTGTGGCAGGTTGCATTACATTATTGAAATATTGCTTGGAATAAGAGAATTATCCAAAATGCCTATGAAGCTCTCTCCTATATTCGCTTCTTTTTTATGAATTTGTACCTGAACAGTTCTTTTTGACCGCTAGTGTACAATAAAAGATTACGATTCATGTTCGATACGATAATAGCAACATTTGAGCAGTTTGTTTTGACTGCCAGTGTATTATCAAATTGGAAAGTGTGAATAATTTTGCATTTGTCCAATCTCATTCCCCAGCCTCTGGAATAATCAAAATCAAAAATGATTCTGATTGGTCGGTTACGCCGCCAGAATGTTGCAGCACAATATAATCCCGATACGAGAAGGAAACCAGGATTTCTGGCGGAAGGTTTGGATTGTCGCAGAGCTTTGGTTGGGAAGAGAACTGCGGCACTAGAAGTTGCTCACACCATCACGCGTCAAAATGCGCAGGGGCATTAGATGTTAGTTCTTGGGGGAAAGGGTTAATCTAACGTAGTTATGGCATTTCTCGGGGAATTTCACCAATCTTGGGAAAGAACGTAGCATGGCTGCTTGAAATTTTTTCTTGTGAGGAATAACGTGTTGTCTACTTGTTCGCAGAAATTATTTGCAACATTCCTCGTTAATTTTTCGTGCCACGAAAATTTAATTTCAACATATTTGCAAAAGATAAGTATTGGAGAATACCTTGACTGCTCCTTTTCTGGTATTTGTAATAGTAGTTTATTAAAAAACAACCACTCGCTGTCTTAAGACTGAATTACATGACATTGTGTTGGATACAAAATTCAGAATATAGGGATCAATTTATAGAGAACATTTTATAATGCAAGTATAATCTTGTTGTTCGAAAAGTCAAAAGAGTGCTTAATACTATAAGATGTTAGTAGAGCGAATTAAAGATTGTAAGTTTTAAATTCAAACTGTGATCATAACCTTGTACCCAGGGTGCTGTCATCAAAGAACTTAACAGCGTAAGCGGGATTACAGTTACTGCGAATAGGATGCATGCAACAGCTTCCTATTTTGAACGAACTGAAACAAAAGCGTGTCCACAAAGGGCGTTTTGAATCGTGTTAATTAACTTTTAGTATTTTTGCACAGGTCAATATACTAAATTTGACGTATTATGCTGTTAATTTCAGTATGAGAATTTTCAAAAAAAAAAACTCGGGAAGGCCGAAAATGGTTCAAATTTAATCACTTGATCCAATTTTAATCACTTTCTACAATACACTTTTTTTTACTTATTAACCTTACTTATTTACCTTACTTATTTACTTTACTTATTTATCTTACTTATTTACTTTACTTATTTATCTTCTTTATTTACCTTATTTATCATATATATGATCCTGAAGCATGCGGCATGCATTGTTCTATGAAATGAAAAATGTCCATGTGATATAATATTAAATTAAATTTTACTTAACCAAATATGCCTATCAGAAGAATTCGATTGTTAACAGGAATCGTAATAGGGATCACGTTTTAACCTTGTCACTTGTGCCCTTAAACATCTTCAACTTAATTGCCTAACTCAGCCTAAGCATCTGCAGACATGTAAATATCGTTTAAATGTTATTATGAAGAAAAAACAAGAAAACAGAGAAGCACATTACCGTGCAAACGGGCTTCCATTTTCCAATATTTATGTAGAAGGACATCCATAAAATTCTACTCTCATCGAGATATAGTTATTCCAATCCGTTGGATGAATGCGAATGAACCGAGCAGAAATATGAGGAATCACCATGTGATGGACAATGGAATTTTTGTCTGTGTTGCCTTGGAATTCCTGAAGACATTAAAAAATACTCGAGGTTGCTGTAATATCTATCTTTAAATAGCAATATATTATTAAAAAACAAAATTGAATTATTGAGCATTTGCCCAAACTCATTCCCCGAAACTGCGATTTTCTCTTGCGAGAAACGAAGGCTTTCGAATAATCAAAATTAAAAATGATTCTAATTGGTAGACGCTGGAATGTTGTAACACAATACATCCCAAATACGAAAAGGAAACCAAGGTTTCTGGCGGAATGTTTGGATTGTCCCAGAGCTTTGGCCGTGGGAGGAGAACTTGCTGCGGCGCCAGAAGTTGCTCACACCATTACGCGCCAAAATTGCCCATCGAGCGGGTATTAGACGTTAATTCCTGGGGGAGGTGTTTATCTAACATAGTAAAATAATTGTGACCTTCCACAGGAAAACATACGTTAACGCTATTTCGTTCGTTCGAAAATATCGTTCGTTATCCGTGGATAAGCCTACATGACGTAGCGAAAGACGTGAACTATAGCCGCTGGAAGAACTCAACAAAGGCGCAGTTACAACGTGGTCGAGACGAAAGAACATTGTATCTTAGCATTCGTTGTCGTATTTAAAAGGGATTTTTTACATTGAAAGCACAGAAAAGAAACGGTAAAAGACTTATCTAGACTTAAGCTTAGTTTTCTGTGAACTTTAGTGGGATTTACTTTATGTTTTGTTTGGATATTTCGCTTCATATGTTGGTATATATCGAAGACGATTTTAGTAAATATCAAAAGGTTTATTATATCAAGTATTAACCATATCTATCTTTTGTTAGTGTCTTTGTATTTAGTTATTGTATTCTCTTGTAACAACTTATCGATGTAAAGTATTTGTTTGTATTTTAGCGTAAGAATAAACCGTTTCCCATTGTTTGTCTCGGGAGAGGAATTAAATTATACAGTCCCCAGAAGGCGCAGGGGGGGTGGCCGGCGGAAATCTCTGTACGACCCCTCCTGGCGTGAACATTATTGGTCCTTCGAGCCGGATGAAGGATACCTTGAACAAGTTTAGAAATGTGGTAGGTGAATACATCAACTTATAGGATGTCAGTGTCAACAAATACGCGTTCGCATAAAAAAGGGACCCCGGTAGAGCCCACCATGGCTGAAGGTGATACCTTGGATAAGAGTGATGATGTCACCCTGGATCAGCGTATCGAAGGTGAACACTCGCGAGATATTACACAAAGTCAACCAAAGCAGTTGTCCAAAGAGGTGAAGGGGATTCGCTTCAAACGACTTGCAGCCAGGAGGGTGATGACCCGGTTTGATGAGGCGATTAGGACTCTCATAGAGCAAAAGGGGAGCCGAACAGCCATCAGGAAGAATCTCAATGATATTCTGTGTAAGTGGACAGAAATAGAGTCACTTCATGCTAAACTTGAAAAATGTCTTGAAGAAGATGAAGAGTTATTAGAGGACGCAATGACATTAGCCGATATTCAAGTGGAAGTAAACAATATTGTTGGTATAGTAGATGACCACCTCCAAGAACGAGAGAATGAGCCATCGACCTGCGGTGGCTCAGTAGCCGGTTCTCGTCGCAAAGATTCACCTACCCCTTCCCAAGTTGAACAGGATGAATGTCAAGCAAAGTTGGAAGCTCTGGAAAAGAAAAGGCTCGAAGCTGAACAGCAGAGGAAGAAAGAAGCTGCTCAGCTGAGTGAGGTAGCCTCACAGAAAAGAGCGGAGGCCAGTAAACTTCAAAGGGAAGCTGAAGAGGCTGAAAACCGCTCCAATATCCTGGATCAAGAGGATAATGATTCCAGACCTAACTCACCTCTGAACATTGATGGTGAAGAGGCACTTGAGGCTGGTGAAAAGGTAGCACTTTATGTAAAGCATGTCGAACAGGTGAAGAAATTAAGCTCGCAAAGTAACCATAGTGATGATGGAGGCAGTCCGGAAGATTGGATAGTTCAGTTCCGCAGAACTCTCAAGGTGGACGTCAGAGCTGTGGACCCGGGGAAGATCCCGGTGCGAGCAGATGTGCCAGTCTACCATGGAGACCCACTGAAATGGTTGTCTTGGAGCGGGTTGTTCAAGGCACTGGTACATGACACAAAGATGTCTTCCGAGGCAAAAATGGGTTTTATGCACACAAAGCTGTCGAGAGACTGTGACCAGGTCATCGCTGGCTTGTTTCCAGATGATGACGGCTATGCTGATGCCCTAATGTTGTTGAGGGACCGGTACGGCCATCCAACCACACTGCAAGCTGCACATCTGCAGGTACTGAAAGTTTTGCCCACCATTGATACTAGTGACCGAAGAAACCTATCTATGAAGTTCCAGTCATTTGTAGACCAGACAAGAAGCCACCTAGCAGTACTCAGTCGTTACAGCAAAGGAGAGTCGCCGTTTGTTTCTTCGCTTATCAACGACTTGACAGACAAATTGCCCCAAGAAGATGCAAAAGCTTGGCGAATTAAAGCTGGTGAGAGAGACGTGCGAATGACTCTGGAAGCATTCAGTGTCTGGCTTGGTGCCAGAGGAAGATCTTACTGGGGTGCCTTACCACCACAGAAACCACAACGAAGAAGAGATGACCCCGGAGACAACCACCCAAGGAGATCACTCCACAACCAGCAACAAGGAACCCCCAGGTGTGTGAATTGTGGGTCTAACCACAAGACAAAAAACTGTGTCAAATTTAAAGAATTGCCAGTTGAAGAACGTTTCAAACTAGCCAAGGAGAAGCACCTCTGCTTCGGGTGCTTAGAAGAGTCCCATATATCCCGAAATTGTCCGAACAAGAAGGAGTGTGGAATGGGAGATTGCAAATTAAAGCATCATCCTCTACTGCACCTTGAACAGAATGCACGAACTGGAACTATGAAACAGAACCCTTCTGGCGTCGCATTTGGAATTATTGAAGTTTCAGTCATTGGTGCGGGTGGTGCTGAAGTCAAAGGGAATATCTTGTTGGATGACGGTTCGGACACTACGTTGGTCTCTGAATCGTTCGTGAAGAAGTTAGGGATACGCGGAAGGAAATCGATGCTCCAAATATCTGGTGTTGGTGGTGTAGGAGGAAGGAGAACTTCCTCCCAAGTAACGTTGCGTGTCAAAACGCCTGAAGGAGATGCAGAGCATGTTGATCTCAATGCATGGAGCCTTGAAAAAATCTGCCAACCTGTTGGAACAGTTCGATGGCCCCAGATCAAGGACAAGTGGAAACACCTCCAGGACCTTGACCTAAAAACGTCCGGTGGTGAAATCGATATCCTACTTGGACTTGACTATGCTGACCTACTGGTGCCGTTGGAAGTGAAAACAGGAAATCCACGAGAACCTGTAGCTAGAAGGACGAGCTTCGGTTGGACTGCTGTTGGACCCCTCAGTAAGTCTCGTAAGAATTGTTCCATCCACCATGTGATTGTAGTTGACGAGAAACCATTGGACGTGGCATTCAAAGAATTTTGGGATAGCGAGTCATTTGGAACAAAGACGTCAAAAGGACAAACGTATTCCAAAGAGGAACGATACGCGTTGGATACCTTAGAACAAGGAACCAAGAAATTGGAAGTCGGTTATCAAGTCCCACTGATGTGGAAAGAGGGAGAGCCACAACTGCAAAACAACCGCCACGCCGCAGTCAAGAGATTAGAAAGCCTGCAAAGACGGTTCATTTGGGACCCTGAGTATGAAAAAGATTATCGAAAAGCGATCCACAAGTATATCGAAGCTGGTTATGCCGAAAAGGTTGACGAATATAATGACCTCGACGGGCCGGACCAATGGTATCTTCCACACCATGGCGTGTACAAAAGATCTTCGGCAGAGAAAAAGATTCGTGTTGTTTTCGATTCCGCAGCTCAAAACAAAGGAAAGTGTTTGAACGATGCGCTACTGCCCGGTCCAGTCCTACAGAACGAGTTACCTCAAGTTCTCACGAAGTCTCGCGAAGGAGATATCGGATTTGGAGCTGACATCGAAGCAATGTTTAGTAGAGTTCGGATAAGTGAAAGAGACGCAAGATATCACCGTTTTTTGTGGACCGAGAAAGACAGCAACGTAGTCGACACCTATCAAATGAATCGATTGACCTTCGGGGACACGTCATCACCTTGCGAAGCCATCTACGTAACTCGCCGAACCGCCACCGATTATGGAAGTGGTAAACCAGAAGCAGTAAAAGCGATTAATGAGAATCTCTACGTCGATGATTACCTAGATTCAGCAGAGACGAAGGACGAAGCCGTTCGAAAAGGAAATGATGTCAAAGAAATATTGGCAAACGGTGACTTCCATCTGCGAAAGTGGGTCTCCAATTCACCAGAAGTAACAGCCGCGTTGAAAGGTCCTGTGAGCGACGACCTGACTGCCGAACCCGTTGTGACCGACCTCACTGATCGCGAACCGGAGACAAAAATCCTTGGTATAAAGTGGAACACCGATAGTGACGAATTGACATTTTCCGTAGCCCCGATGACAAATGTTACCGACACTCGAAGAGGTCTCTTGAGCAAATTAGCTGGTGTCTTTGACCCTCTCGGATTCGCCTCGCCGTTCACGATAAAAGCGAAGATTCTTACCCAACAACTGTGTCTGCTGGGCCTCGACTGGGATGGCGCTCTCCCCGCTTCTCATGTTATCAAATGGGAACATTGGCTATCAAAGTTGCCGGAGTTAGAGAGCATTAAGATACCCAGATGCATACAACCTAACAGAAAGATTGTGGTGAAATCAGAACTGCATACTTTCTGTGACGCGTCGGAAGAAGCTTTCGCCGCTTCGGTTTACTTAAGAAGCGTCTCTGAAGATAATCATGTCGTTTGCTCTCTGGTCATGGCAAAAACGAAAGTGGCTCCCAAGAAAGCGTTAAGCGTGGCGAGACTGGAATTACAAGCAGCTGTGCTGGGTGCCCGTTTGGCGAAGTACGTCACCGAAGCACTGACCCGACCAGTTAACCGTCTCTTCTTCTGGACAGATAGCAAATGCGTCATTGGTTGGATTAGATCAACGGCTGTTTGGTATAAGCCCTTTGTTGCCCACCGTCTAGGAGAAATACAAACCCTAACCGATCCAAAGTCCTGGCGACACGTGCCTGGTCGATTGAACGTAAGTGACCTTGCCACCCGATCGAGATTCGACCCCAAACAAGAGTTGATTCCACCACGATGGTTCAAAGGGCCAGACTTCTTGTACCAAAGCGAAAACGATTGGCCGAAAGAAGTTCCTGTCGGAGAGCTACAACAACTTGAAATCAAGCCAAGCCGAGTATTTGTTGCCAGCTCAAGTGATGGCGATTCGTATTTCTACGCCGATGTCGATTTGGAACGATGTTCCTCATTGTGGAAAGCTCAACGAATCATGGCGCAAGTACACCGCTTTCTTGCGATTTGCCGTGGAAAGGATCGAGACAGAGGCATCCTAACAGTCCAGGAGTTACGAGTGGCATTGACAAGTTTAGTGCGCCAATGTCAAAGAGAAGCCTTTGGGGAGGAGCTGAGATCCTTGAAGAGAACGAAGAGTGTTGATAATCATTCAAAGCTGCTATCCCTAACACCATATTTGGACCAGGATGATGTGATTCGTGTCGGTGGGAGACTCGACCGTGCAAAACTACCGTATGAAGTGAGACATCCTATCATTTTACCGCAAAAGCACCGCTTATCAAAACTAATCGTAGAGAGTTACCACCATTTGGAGAACCATGGGGGCGTTGACCATGTCCTGGCCACCATTCGACAAAAATTTTGGATTGTCCACGGACGGCAAGAGGTGAAACGGGTCAAACGAGAGTGTGGTCGATGCAAGAGGGAATGCGCGAAATTGAGTAGCCAATTACAAAGCGAACTGCCGATCGAGAGATTAACACCAATGGAACCAGCTTTTTATCACACTTCAGTTGATTATTTCGGACCGTTCCTGGTGCGGTTAACTCGCAACACGACAGCCAAGAGGTATGGCGCGTTGTTCGCTTGCATGGTAACTCGGTGTGTTCACCTAGAAGTCGCAGAGTCCCTATCGGCCCCCGACTTCCTACAAGCATTACATAAGATGATGGCTAGACGTGGACAACCAAATTCCATTTACAGTGATAACGGCACGAACTTTGTGGGGGCAGAACACGAGTTAAAGTCCATGGTTAGGGATTTAAATAAAAGCGAGAAGTTAAAGAATCGTCTTGCACGAATTGGCGAAGGAATTACGTGGAAATACCAACCTCCCGCAAGTCCTCATTGGGGAGGAGTTCACGAGAGTCTGGTAAAGTCCGTGAAGCGAGCACTCTACCGTACGTTGAATCCGAAAGGAACAACAACAAGTCCTCATCCGACGGACCCGCAGCTCTCCGCACTTTTCGCTGAAGTCGAAAGATTTGTCAACTCAAGACCGTTAACGTACGTTAGCAACGATCCAGAAGATATAGAAGCCATAACGCCGTACCACTTTTGGTTGCATCGTCGATCGACTGTTGTACCTCTTGGAGATTACAGTCGCCCGGATTTGCGTGATCGATTCAAGCAGACGCAACACCTCGCGAATGCAGTATGGCAACAATGGATAAAGTTATACTTACCGAGTTTGATGTCAAGAAGAAAATGGAAAACCGAAGAAAGAAATGTAGCAGTGAACGATGTCGTTCTTGTCGTTGAATCTGGCGGCTTACGGGGAGAATGGAAACTCGGACGTATAATTTAAACTTATCCGGGAAAAGACGGACGAGTCAGAGCAGCGAAAATAAAGACTACCGGCGGGACTTACGTGAGACCAATAACAAAGCTGTGCTTACTAGAAGAAAGTAAGGACAGATCGTCGTCCACATGAGATCTTGAGATGCGGACGAGCGATGGGGAGGAGTATGGATAAGCCTACATGACGTAGCGAAAGACGTGAACTATAGCCGCTGGAAGAACTCAACAAAGGCGCAGTTACAACGTGGTCGAGACGAAAGAACATTGTATCTTAGCATTCGTTGTCGTATTTAAAAGGGATTTTTTACATTGAAAGCACAGAAAAGAAACGGTAAAAGACTTATCTAGACTTAAGCTTAGTTTTCTGTGAACTTTAGTGCGATTTACTTTATGTTTTGTTTGGATATTTCGCTTCATATGTTGGTATATATCGAAGACGATTTTAGTAAATATCAAAAGGTTTATTATATCAAGTATTAACCATATCTATCTTTTGTTAGTGTCTTTGTATTTAGTTATTTTATTCTTTTGTAACAACTTATCGATGTAAAGTATTTGTTTGTATTTTAGCGTAAGAATAAACCGTTTCCCATTGTTTGTCTCGGGAGAGGAATTAAATTATACAGTCCCCAGAAGGCGCAGGGGGGGTGGCCGGCGGAAATCTCTGTACGACCCCTCCTGGCGTGAACAATCCGTTCGTTTGCCGTTCAAACGCTTGAAGCGTTCGTTGAAACGATTTTCGAGATCGTTCATCGTTCGAAATTGCCCGTTCGAACGCTTGGGAAAAAACGTTTGAAAATTGGTCCAAAAGTGTTCAACCGTTTGATTTACCGTTCGTTGAAACGTTTGCCGGAATTTCGTTCAATCGCATTGGATTTGGTTCAACATATTAGATTAAACATTTGCAATGTTACAACTTTGTAGAAGAAGCGCAGAATGTGCTACACAGAAATACTCCCAGAAACGTATTCAGTTCCTTAGTAGAAGCCTTTTAAAGGAAATAGTGAGGTTATATCGTTTTAGCCTAATCGATTGCTATTTTGTGCGCTTCATGTTATGGTTGATGCTTAGCGTCATGCAGACATGAAGGCTATTAACATTCAGTGCATGCAATTATTTCATTAGCGTCAAATTTCACGTCGTAAGCTTTCTTTCAAAAATTTATCGTTTTTTGAATTTCGGTAATGCACTAAATGGTTCTTTACTATACTTCTGTAGCTTCCATAAGCCAAATTTCACCGCGCGCACAAACAACCTCTCAAGCCATATATTAGCATTACGAGCCATATAAATATGCCTTGGCAAGGTGCTAATTAAGTTGCATAATTGTCGGACGTCTCTAAATGTATGTAAACAGACAAAACCAGATTTTAAAATGAATTGAGGGATTTTGCGTGTTACATATTAATATCGTACTTGTAAACCATGTGTATATAGCTAATTTATTTACATCTGATAAACTTATCTAGCTGGGCCTCCGTACGAAGCAGCTACTGATTAAAATCTATTCAAAATTAAGGACCGCATCCTAGGACGGACATTTCAGCTTGAAATTCGTTGTTTTTAATGCAGTCTGACATAGCTACAAATTATACAACAATTGACATACCCTAGCTAATATTTGAAGACATAAATACAGTGACCTAACGCGCGTTCGGTAGGGTTACAACGAGAACTAAGAGATCCCCGCAGTACCAAGTATACCTCAAGACCCCATCCTCAGTTCTGTTCGTTACGCCACTGCATGAATATCATAGCAATTCAAATATGTACGTGAAACTAGTCTAAAACTGGAGCCGGAGCAACAAGATCCTCAGTGCCCCGCTTACAAAATTATTACAAAATCATTTATATAGATTAGGAATAGAAGCGGACCAAAAATTGAGCCTTGAGGAATTCCACATGTAACAATATTTTTATGAGAAATTACCCAATTTACAGAGCACATTTGGGTTCTGTTTGCTAGGTAGGATTTTAGAAGGTTTAAGGCTGGCTTTTCTAAGCCATATAAACCAAGTTTCTTCAATAATATATCATGATTTATCGTGTCGAAAGCCTTTTGTAAATCAAGGAATACCGCAATATTAAAAAGACCGCGATCCATATTTACGAACCATTCGTTCGTACTGTCTAAAAGAGCAGACGCTGTCGAATGAAACTGCCTGAAACCAAATTGGTGATGGGATAACAAGTTATTTGCCACAAGATAATCATATAATTGTTCATATAATACTTTTTCGAAAATTTTACTTACAATAGGTAGAATAGATATAGGCCGATAATTGTTTAACAGATTTCGAGGACCTTTCTTATATAAAGGCGTAATTCTCGCTGCTTTCCATTCAGACGGAACGGACTCATTGCTAATTGCCATTACCAAACACGCGATCATCCCACACCACACGGGGGGTGTGTATACTGCAATAGTGAAGCCCACAAATCGATTGACTGTGACAAATTAAAAACAGTAGATGACCGTAGAAAGCACCTAGCGAAGCATCGCCTCTGCTTTAATTGTACGCGTGGGCAACATCGCGCCGCAGATTGCAAGAGTCGTTCTGCATGCCGCAAATGCCAACGCAAACACCATACGTCAATTTGCGAGCAACCAGATAATCCACTTATGGTGGCCTCTTGTAACGTGAACAGATCGGTATGTTACCCCGTTGTTGTGGTTGAGATAAATGGAATTAAATGTCGCGCCCTACTAGACACTGGGGCTGGCAGTTCCTACGCGTCCTGCGGGTTAATTAGTCAGCTAAAAATAAAACCGTTCAAAGTTGAGAGGCGACGTATCGAGATGATGATAGGTTCTGTCACGAAGAACATTGAGATTTACCAAATGAGCGCGAAGAGTCTCGAAAGCGATTTCTCTCTCGAAATGCAAGTTAGCAAAGTCGATCGCGAAAAGCTCCTGGTTTTAGAAAACCCAAAATACGCTGATCTCATCGCGAAGTACAATCACCTGCGGGCCGTAGAGATGGTCGACAAGGACGAGAAAGCAGAGTTACCCATACATCTTGTTATTGGGGCAAACGAGTATACAAAGATCAAAACCGAGAACGCACCGAAGATCGGTCGCCAGGGAGAGCCCATCGCGGAAAAGACCCATTTTGGTTGGACCATAATGTCCCCCGGCCTGGAAGAGAACATCAATGGACTTTTCCTTACCCAGACCTGCAGCGTGGACTATGAGAAGTTATGCCGCCTAGACGTACTTGGATTAGAAGATTCCCCAACTGGTGATCAGGGTGAAGTTTATAAGGAGTTTCAGGAGCAGTTGCAACGCAGTCCAGAGGGGTGGTACGAGACGACCCTACCGTGGAAAGGAAACCACCCTCCACTTCCTAACAACAAAAATGGAAGTTTACGACGACTTGAGAGCCTTGGGAGAAAGCTACAAAGGTCGAACCTTCTAGAGCGATACGACAACGTGATCAAAGACCAGCTACACCAGGGGATCGTTGAGCGAGCCAGCGAAAGTCCAAGCGGTCGTGAGTTCTATATTCCTCACAAGCCGGTTGTGAAAGAATCAGCCGAGAGCACTAAATTGAGAATCGTGTACGATGCGTCCGCTCGTGCCAGTGATAGTGCGCCATCTTTAAACGAATGCCTAAATCCAGGACCACCGTTACAAAACCAGCTGTGGAAGGTGTTGGTCAGAGCCCGGTTTCACCCAGTATTACTCACAGGAGACCTGAAACAAGCATTTCTGCAAGTAAGGATCCATGAGAAGGATCGGGACGCACTTAGGTTTCACTGGTTTAAAGACTTGCAGAAGAAGACCATCGAAGTACTACGATTTACTCGTGCGTTGTTTGGGTTAGCCCCATCTCCTTTCTTGCTTGGGGGAGTTATCCGGCAACATTTGGAGAGCTTTCGAACAGTTTATCCAGAGATCGTGAGCGAAATCGAGAAAAGTCTTTATGTCGACGACTTAATTAGTGGCGGTGAGAATGTGGTCGAGGCAGAGCAACTAAAGTGCAAAGCAACCGAGGTTTTTGCAGATGCTACCTTTGATCTACACAAGTGGCACTCGAACGCTCGTGAGTTGGAGTCACCAAGTAAAATCGAAGGAGAGGGCACGTTTGCGAAACAATAACTCGGAGTCTCCAACGGAGAGTAAGCAAGTATACTCGGTCTTCCGTGGAGCAAAGAAGAGGATACCATCGGGGTCGAATTTCCGTCCGGTGTAGCCGAACCAACCAAACGAGGGGTTCTCGGAAAAGTCGCAAAAATTTACGATCCACTGGGACTAGTGGCACCTCTTACCCTCATTGGAAAGTTATTGTATCGTGATGTGTGCAATGCGAAGCTACCATGGGACGCCAAGCTATCGTACGAACTGTCGCGAAAGTTAATGAAGCAGGAGGAAAGCCTACCAAAGAGTGCCATGACTAAGAGATCATTAGCCTTACACCGCGAAAAGATAACGGATATCCACCTTCATTCATTTGGTGACGCTAGTGGGAAAGGTGTAGCTGCCGCAGTCTACGCAGTCGTGTTCCAGCAGTCAGCAGTGAGCCAAGGATTGGTCGCAGCAAAGGCGAGATTGGCGAAGCAGGGTCTAACTATTCCGCGATTAGAGCTTGTTTCCGGTCACATGGCGGTCTAATCTCAAACGTGAAGACAGCGCTCGAAGGGTTCAATGTTAGCCAACAACATTGCTGGCTGGATAGTAGTGTTGCGCTGCACTGGATTGGTGGAAATGGTACGTACAAACAGTTTGTAGCAAATCGTGTGTCAAAGATCAGAGAACACACCGACGTGAAGTGGCGTTATGTCAACACCGAAGAGAATCCTGCAGATCTTGCGAGCAGGGGAGGATCAGTCAAGGATAAAGATCTTTGGTGGAATGGACCACCCTGGTTACCAAACACTGAACAGTGGCCTCTTAACATCGAAACGAGCGCTACGTCAGAGAGTCAAGCCGAGGAGAAAATGGTAAAAGAGATATTCAAGCTCAGTCGAGTCAAAAGTGATGATCTTGAAGCCCTTGCAGAGAAGTTCAGTTTCTGGAAATTAGTACGAGTATGTGCGTGGATCGCGAGATTCGTAAGAAACGCAAGAGAATCGAAAGGAAACAGATTACAGGAACCTTTGGGAACAGATGAAATCGAGAGACAAGTAACGGTGTGGGTCAAGCGAATCCAAGAAAGTGCTCAGGGGACAGAGAAGTTCGAAAGGGATCAAGTTCAATTAAACCTCCAACCCAATAACGAAGGAGTACTCGAGTGCCGTGGTAGGATACAGGGACAGTATCCAATCTATTTACCTGATTCTCACACACTCACCGAAAAAATCGTGATCGAAGCGCACCTGAAAACGTTGCATGGGGGAATAGGCGCTACAATGACACAAGTAAGAGAAAGCTATTGGGTACCCCGCCTACGGAGATTAGCAAGGAAAGTGGTAAAATCGTGTAAGCGATGTTATCGTTTCCAAGCGAAAGCATATACGAACCCACCACCAGGCAGACTACCAACCGAAGGCACCGAAGCATTTGAAGTAGTGGGAGTGGACTTCGCGGGTCCTCTCAGATATCGAAAGGCGAAGAATAAAGAAGGAAAGGCATACCTGGTAGTCTATGCGTGTAGCCTGACTCGAGCCGTGCATTTAGAAGTTTTGACAACGATGGAAACATCGGAATTCCTGGAAAGTTTAAAACGACTTGTAGCGCGTCGCGGTCGTCCAAGAAAGATTTATTCTGACAACGGTCGAACGTTCGTGGCTGCAGTCAAGTGGCTCCGAACAGTGATGAAAGACGAGCGTGTAAGCCGCTGGTTGTCGAGAGGGGAAGTAAAGTGGCAGTTCAATTTGAGTCGAGCCCCATGGTGGGGCGGCCAATTCGAGAGATTGATCGGTCTCATAAAACAGTCATTATACAAGACCATTGGAAACGGCTATTTGTCGCTACGAGAGCTACAGGATGTGATATTGGATGTAGAAGTGACCATCAACAATCGACCACTCAGCTATGTCGAAGACGATATACAGCTCCCCATCCTAACTCCAAACTCGTTATTATATGGCCGCTCCAATGTCTTACCCGAGCTAGAACACCATCGAGTGGAACAAGGCGACCTTCGAAAGCGAGCTAAACATCTTCGACGGTGCAAGGAAGCTGTATGGACCAGATGGGCGAAAGAGTATTTGAGAGGGCTACGTGAACGTCACAAGTTGAAACAGGATGAAAAATCAAACACACCGAAGGCTGGCGAGGTTGTGATTATAAAGTCGGACGAAAGGAATCGTGGAAAGTGGAAAATCGGAATAATTGAAAAGGTCATTCCTGGCATCGATGGGGTTGTACGGGGCGCAAAGGTACGAACCGGAAAGTCGCTATTGGAAAGACCTGTCCAACATCTTTTTCCGCTAGAGCTATCCTGTGACAAGACGGTACAAGAAACACCGGCGACGTTAAACGCGAAAGCACCGGCATTCGAGCCAAGACCAAAGCGACGGGCTGCCATTGAGGCAAATGATCGAATCGCGGGGGTCAGAATTGAAGAAGAAGAAGAGAGTCTGGATTGATAGTTAAGATACATTAACTTCGTTACAGAACGGGAAAAAAATTGATTGCACGTTTAATCTTAATAGTATCATAATTATGTGGTACTTTAGGGGAGAAATCAGAACATTGATTTGGGTCAAGGAATAAAAAATAATATAGCCGTGGACGAAATATATACTTAGAACATTTGTCTCATCCGAGACAAATGGGGGGAGTGTGTTAGATATTTCGTACCAAGATAATTATAGAATATTAGATGACAACATTAATTAGCATAGAGACATTATTTGCATGCCAGAGATATAATCCGTAATATATGATGATGTAAGTTGAGAGGTAGTTTAATTGTGAGCAGTGATTGTGAGTTACAGAGTGAACTTTGCAGTGATCGTGTTTAATTCGTTATATTTTATTAAACCTTATACAAAACTTGTGATTCGCGAATAGTGTTGCGACTATACACTAACATTTCCAACAAATCAAATAACTGTGAATTGCTCCAGATTCCCTGTTCTAGACTGAAGACATTTGGGGATAGATCATTTTGTGTCGCGGGACTACGATTGTGGAACGAATTACCCATTAATCTTCGGATGTGAAAATCAATTACTGTTTTTAAAAAAATCTTAAAACATATCTTTTTAACTTATTTTTGAATAATGTATGACGTTGGTCTTAACATTTATATTATTAGGTTTGTTAATGATTTAGATATTTTATTAGTTTTAATATTAGATTTTACTGTAAAGCTATAGAACAGAACACAATTTGGTTGCGCGCTATAGAAATACTTATTATTATTATTATTATTATGACTGGGCCACTTTATTCGGCGCGCTTGCAATTATTTTCCTCAAAGCATTGAAATCAGGCTTATCGATGAAATCATCAACAGAATTCGTATAACGGTTGTCTCGATTTAAACTTTTTTTCCCTTGAGTGTATTTGCTTGGCTAAACTGTAGCTCTCTATTGACCATGCATATATCGAAATATGACACGCATTCGAAGTAAGATTTCATATAGATGATCATGCAATTGTATATAACAAGACGTTCTCAATTGCATTTTATGTATGTGTTAACGCGAGTAAAATGTATTCGGATATAAATGCGCACTGCAATATAACTCTTTAGATTGCTTATCATGCATGGCCGGTGGAATCAAGTTGGGCCACGATCATCCAATCATTCCGAATAAACATGACATGAAAGGTTGCCAGACCTTGAAAATGGCTTGGCTGAGGCTAGAAAAAATATTCTGTATAACTGTTATTAATGTCTGGTTATCATCTGTAAACAACTTGATCCTTGCGCTAATTAATTTAGTCGTTTGCGCGTCAAAGAGTATAAGCAATAGTGTGCAATGGAATCTTTTGTGTTTAGTTTAACATAAAATATGTATGCAGTAGCTGAAACTCAACCAAACTGAGACGGTGACCAATGACATTGCCTATAATATTATTATCGAAGCCAGGCCATTTATGGCAATCTTCGTTTACTCTCGGTTTAGAGCCGTGTTAATAAAACGGATGCATGCATTATGTGTTTATATGTCCTTAACCACCCATACATATAGTTTGTCCGTGGATAAATTTACAAAATCTGTAACGTTGTTGCAAATAAACACGCGCTGAATATTTTGATGGGTATAGTTGCGGATGATGCATTGATTAATTTTACATAAAGGTGATAATTTGTACTAATAACTAAAGGCTTTCTAACGATTAATACTGAAACCCGAATTTTGATGCTAAATGCAAATGTATATATATGTATATAAAGTATGAAATAATGTGATTTAGGTAGTTTAGCTTATAAATTTAGTTAAACATTCAAATGAACGTATAGCTATTTATATATGTATACGCATACTTGCGCCAACACGTGTTACGTGTTTGAAAATATTTCCTATTAGTCAATAATATCTTGCGTCAATCATACGCGCAACAGGCGTTCAGACTAATTCGTTAAAACCGTTCATAAACATAAATCGTTCAAACGGCTTCAGATTGAACGTTTATTTATCCGTTCGTATTCTCGACTTTAAACGTTCACATTTTTAGCTGAATTCGTCAAAACGTTTTTTGGGTTCGTTGAAACGTTATGACATGCAGATCGTTCACTACCAGGGGCGCCGTGGGTGTGCTAATGTAGGGGTGGCCAAAGGCAACATTATTCCGACAAGCACGTTTTTTTCCCGACATCTTTATAATAAAAAAAGTAACGAATATTGACAAAACTGACAGGGGGTTTTGGGCAAGGACGCGCATGCATTTGGTATGACAAAGATCACGAGCTACGTCTACTAATTTAAATTGACGCTTCATGCACAATGAATATGACCGATAAATATTCACGTTTTACATACGCTTTTCAATTGAGTAGTTGAATAATTTTTGATACAGTTAACTGTTTGTGGGAAAACTGTATTACAGAGATTTCTAATCCACATGCATTAAAAAATAACGCGATACGTTATTTCATGATACTCTATTATAGCTTTGTAATCTTAGTGGATGAGCATACAGCGTATTCTATACGCAACATTTGTTTATAACCAAAAAAAACATATTCGCAAATGCTTCCA